TGAAGTTAGCCTAGCCTATATCCTTTTATATATCCTTCCTCATCTTCTATGATTACCAATTGCATTTGTCATGAATTTACATGTAGAATATTTTATTTTGTTAATGTGTGATTGAAAATGAGTATGAAAAATAAATTAAAGTAAAGAAACTTTGGAACCCTATTTAAACTACGCATGCAACCCTATTTACACGTTGAAAATGCATGACATAAGAAACTTTCGAACCAACTTGCAATCGGTCCTTGAACTTCTTTCGGTGTTGATTTGATCATTTTTTCGTGCAATTTCAGCCATTTGTCTTCTTTTATCATCTAGTTGACTTCCCTACATTCTTCAATATCGATATGTGGTCCAAATCAAGTTTCAATGTTTTCACATTGGTCCCAAAGTTTGAAATTCTTGCCTTTTTCGTCGATTTTCATTCATCTCTTCTAATTTTATGTTCAATCACTAAGATTTACCTAACAAACAAAATATATAGGAGATTAAACTATAATTCATCAAAAGCACTACAAAATATCATAATGTCATGATCCAGTCAAGTGTATAAATTATATTTAGGGTTAGACAAAAGTCCCGAACCGAATCGGATTGAACCGAATCGAGCGATTCTTCATAAATTAAATACACGAACCGGTATTTGAACCGAGAACCGATGGATCTGGTTCGGTTCTCGATTCTAAGCCAAGAACCAAAGAATCGAATTTAAATAATTTTTTTAATTTTTTATATTAAATTAATTAATTAGTTTTAATTTTTTCTAAACAAATTAGCAAATTTAAATAATTTTCTACTTTTTGGTATTTGCATATATTTGAATTAAGCTTGTTATTCATATATTTTTAAATTGAGCTATGTTAATTTGTAATAGTTACGAATGAACATGTTATTAGTTATATTTATACAGTGTTGTTGTAAATGTTAAAAAATTTAATTATGGTACTGAACCGAACATAATCGAACCGAACCGAATCCGAACGATTCCATAATTATATTTGGACCCGACGGTTCCATTTATTAAATACCCGAAAATTTTGGGTCGGTTCGGTTCTAAAGAGAACCGAATCGAATCGGACCATATCCAGCCCTAATTATACTTATCAAGTGGCGGCGATGGTTTCTACAGGAGAATTGAACATCTTGAGAAGCGATTTCTCAAATAGTTTGTTT